TGAGAACGGTTCAATATACAGAAATCAATAAATATAATATACCACATTAACAGAAACAAAGACAAAAAAACCACATGATCATCTCAATAAATGCAGAAAAAGCATTTAACAAAGTCCAACACCTGCTCACAATAAAAAAAAAAAATCCTACAGAAAATTGGAACAGATGGTCTTTATGGCAATCTGATAAAAGCCATCTATGACAAACCAACACCCAACATCACACTGATGGTCAAAAACTGAAAGCTTTCTCTCTAAAATCAAGAACAAGGCAAAGGGGCTAGGGATTTAGCTCAGCGGCATAAGTGCCTACCTTGCAAGCAGGCAGTCATGAGTTCGATCCCTGGTACCAGTAAAAATACAACAACAACAACAAAAAAAAAACAAGACAAAGATGTCCACTGTCACCACGCCTCTTCCGTACAGCTCTGGAAACAGTGAGGCAGTTAGACAGGAGAAAGAAAAGGAATTTGGATAGGAAAGAAGGAAATTAAGTTACATTCTTTGCTGATAACAAATCTTCTACATAGAACAACAAAAGATGCAACAAAAGATTCTTAGGATTAATGACCAAATTTGTTAGCATAGTAGGATACAAAGTCAACACTCAAAAGCCAAGTCTTCCTTAACGTCGCTCGGTTTCACGTGGATCGGTTTTCAAATTAAGCCCCGGGGCTCCTTCCCTCCCCCTGAAGTCTCAGGTTGACACTGCAGTCATTAGATGGCCCCTCTAGAAAAGTGCAGTTACACACTTCCAAACAATAGTAACAGCCTGACACGTAGAGCTCCGCTTGCCAGTAACGCAGGAGATTGTCTTTGTGTTACTGTCCTTTGGAGAATGTTTTTGCCCATATGTTGTACTCTAAGTAACTACTTTGAAGATAATAATAGGCAATGTATTAACTATTGTTCTTCTCCTGTTATTTTGTTATAAAATTTTACTTTATTTTTTTCATAAGATTTAAAAAAAAAACTATGAAGAAATTCTATCTTTTTCTTGCTAAACTGGCATAGCATAGATTTGTTTTAAAAATCAATATCCAGGGGCCGAGGACTTAGCTCAGTGGCAAAATGCCCACCTGGCAAGCTCAAGGTCATGAGTGCAATCCCTGGTACAAAAAAAAAAAAGCGAGAGAGAGAGAGAAAAGCCAATATCCACCAGCTGCCAGGAAGCAGGGTGGGGGGACATGCAGAGGGGTCTGCTCTAGTCGCCTCTTGTCAGATACGCCAGCACTTGGGGGGCACCTCACCCTGGAGTGATTCCAAAGGGGCTGTTGCATGTGTCACTGCCCCATTCAGGGCTGCACAAAGCCAGAGCCTACAGAAGCCTGGCAGGCAGGAGGCGAGCATGGAGCCACCACCGTGGGAGGACAGACTCTGGTCTGCCGCACGTGGAGGCCGAGGTCCTGCTGGGCCATCCGGTTGTGGAGCCTGAAACCGGAGGATGTGCAGCCCCAGGCCCGGAGCCACTGAGGCCCGGGAGGGAGGCCCCGGCTCAGCCTCTGAAAGCTTCTCCAGAGACTTGTTCAGTGAGTGAGGCTCACTCCAAACAGGAAAAGGGTTAGCTGAGGGTGATCCACAGGCCTGTAACCCCAGCCACTCACAAAGCCGAGGCCAGAGGACCCAAGTTCAAGGCCAACCTGGACTGCTTAGCAAGACCCTGTCTGGAAATAAAAATTAAAAGGGGCTCAGTGGTAGCTTGCACTGGGGTTGATTCCCAGTACTGAAAAACATGTTTCTATGCTGTCCAGAAGGAAAAGTCTAAAAGAAGGGTACCAAAAGATAGGATATTATACGTGTAAATATGTATGGACAGCTATTTTGAAGAAAACAAGAGACAGTATGGTAGCTGTTGTTGACTTCTTATTGTGTGGTTTTGAAGTCCTATAATGCTTTCATCACTCTGTTCTGATCAGTTTTATACTATTTTGTTTTGCTTGAATTTATTGTGTGTGAAGATATGGACAACTATGTAGAAGAACACAAGAGACATTATGGTAGGCACTGTTGATTTCCTGCTGTCTTGAATTGTTCTGTTCTGATCTGCTTTGTTCTGTTTTGTTTTGTTCTCTTTAAAATAAAAAAGATAGGATATTTAAATATTTGTTTTCAATTTTCTGTGTCTATCTTTTTAATAAAAAGTAGTCTATTCATTTAACTAATATATATTGAGTAAGCATAATGCCCCAGGACTTTATTAGGGGTCGGATGATGAGTGTGCTCTTGTTTAACAGTATTTCTCGTTGAGATGTGTATCCATTTCTAACCCAGACCTCACTCTGCAGACAAAGCTATGCCGGACCCCAGGAGAGGACGCGTGGGGCCCGACTCGCACCCACAGCCCACAAGCTCGTCCCCGAAGCCCAGCTCCAGAGACAGCAGGGAAAAGGATTTCAAGGCTGCTCCTCTAAAGATGACCTAAATACAACCGTGAGTGTGCGCTTAATCACACACCTGGCAAGCACCGCTTCAGTGGCCTTTCACCAAAAAGCTCCCCCAAAAAGTATAATTTCCTCTCAATAACATTGAGGATTTCTTACTCTTTACTAGAAAAATAAAGTATGCTGAAAGCTTCCCAATTTTTAGAGGACCCGGTTGCCAGATGCCAGCTGGCAGTTTTATACCGTAAGCCCATCCCCGCCAACCTGTGTATATGTCTGAGTATAAATCTATACATTTGAAAACTTGCTGAACGCTTATAATTCACTGTTATTGGATGTACAAAGAGCCTAGTCATGACTCCTCTGAGTTTACTGAATTTACAGTATCCAGCGAATAAGAAAGCCCACTCTCCTTCCTCGTGGATAGTGAATTATCAGAAGACCACCGTCCATCTGGTGTAGAACAAAGTGAACAGGATTTCTTTAAAGTGGAACATTACTTCCATTAGTTATATCAGAGAGAATGCTTTTACCTATAAGTGCATAAATCAATTACAGGCTTTAAACCAGTCTGACATGAATTAGATTTACAAAACATGTAACCTTTAGTTGACCTACATTTCACATTTTAAATTAGATCCCCTTATAATCAAGTGATCAATAAACAGGATACCACAAATAGTATCCCTTCTATTTGTCAAATACTATAAATGATCAGCTTGGTGAATGCAGAAAGCAAACTGCTGTTTGTGTAGCCTTTTGGAGCCTTTGTCCTGAAAGCGTGATCTATCATTTTTACCTTATGGCTTTATGGCTTTCTGTACTTAAGGAGAGATTCGCCTATAAATGCACGTGCAATTGTTTTACAAATTCAGTGCCTGTGAAATACCTTTAACTGCTCCTGCTTAGGGGAGGTGACAGCTGCAGTGTTTCCTGGGGATGGCTCTGCTGTAGTTTTGAGGCCACCTTCTCTCCTCAACATCATCGTACACAGCCTTCTGTCCATCTATCAAGTGCCACTCTGACAATGCTAAGCACAGAATGTCCTCTCAAAGGCATCAAGCCTAACAGCTAAGAGATCTAGTGATGGGATCAGGAAGCACTGAATTTGGAGGGGCACTTCGGCGGGTGCTTCCTGGGTGCGTGGCACTGGACAGGTAACTTGTATCAATTTGCTCTGCCATAAAAACTAAAGGCACCCGGGAAACTAGTGCACCGCTTAGCTCTGTGCTTGTCTTGTAGAAGGTGCCTGATAAAACTCATGTTACCTAGCGGTATCACAAAACACACTTCCAAGTTGGATGTCTCCTACATATCACTGGGACTCACAAAAGGCTTCTTTGTTCCTAATTCCTCAACCCAGAGATCCTTGGGGATCCCCGTGACCACTGAGATAGACGGCAGGAGGTGGGCTGTGCTGCTGGGTGGGGGTGTTGTCTTCTGTACCTGGCTGACCCCTTCCACACAGACACACGCAGGGAAATCCAGCAGGAAGCTGTATTTGCTTAAACAGCTGACCTCAGTCCCTGTTATCATCTCCGCTTCAGATGCCAAGCTCTGAAGATCATGTTTGGTTTGGTGTCCTGACAGCCTTAGTTCAGAAATGCCAGCCGGTGCATGAATACTTTTGTGCTTTGGCAACTAACAGCAATCTAGTCACCTTGAAAGTGGGGTGCTCTTGGGAGGCCCTGCACCCTGCAGTCCTGGTCATGCCACAGAAAACAACAGGTGACCCCTACAGTTCAAGGCACATACAGTCGGGGGCGCTATGGTGACGGTGCTTCCCAGAGCTCACCACAAGCTAAAGAACAGAGACACTGGCAGCTCAGAGGGCAGGACTGTGTGGCAACTTCTTTCCACTTTTCTATTATTTTTCTAATTTTCTATAATCGAAGGTTGTGCTAATAGCTGATATTCATTTAACATGTAAACACGAGCTGTTAATAGCACGCTTGTTTGTAGCACAAGGGGAAATGGATTGTTGGAGCAGAACTGGAGTCTGCCCATGAGGGTGGGCGCCCTATGCACCTGGGCAGCGGAAGAAGCCTTGCAGAGCTCACTTGGGCCCTGGGCTGCCCTTTGGGTCAGATGCCTGCCTTTCCTTCCCAGACCCTTCTGGTGGGTCCTGAACACAGGCCAGGAGGGGGCGCTGGGAGGAGGCTGCGCCCCTGGGAATCAGGTCCTGTCTACCCTTTTGTCCACCTCTGGGCCCTCGGGGCTGTCTCTCTGGAAGAGCGTGGTCCAGGACTAGGCAGGTCCGGAACTCGGCAGGTGGTAGGGCACCAGCCCTCAGCAGACCTCCAAGTTTCCCACACTCAGGACTGGGGTTGGGACCGCCTGCTGCTGCAGCACCGCTGTGCCCCAGCTCAGGGGAGCCTGTAGGGTCCTGGCAGGCCGAGCTCCGAGGTCCTCCAGGCCTTTCCCTGCGGACCTGGACCTGAGCTTGACGGTAACTGTGCCCTAACCGGCTGCAGGTGCCTTGGTGGACGGGGGAACCGGGCTGTGGGTCTCCGTCCCCTGGGACACAGGTGTGCAGTGGGGGACATAAAGACCCCAGGTCCAGGCAGCTCCGAGGGAGTTGGGTCTCACCTGGACGACATTTCTGGGGTCCCGTCCTACCTGGGTGCCTCGCAGGAAGTCGTCAGCGGAACAGGTGCCCATGAAGGGCAGCTGCATGTGCGTGTGGGGGTCGATGCCCCCGGGCAGCACCAGCTTCCCTGCCGCGTCCAGCACGCGGGTCCCTGCGGGTGCCCGCAGCCCCCGACCGAGCGCGCGCACCAGGCCGTCCTCCACCAGCACGTCGACATCCTCTGAGTAGTCGGGGTGCACCACGCGGCCCCCGCGCACCAGCAGCCGCGACATCGCTGCTCCCTCGGGCCGAACCCAGACTGCGCCCGAGACCCTGACCTGTGGGGCTTAGAGGCCCGCGGCGCCCCGCCCCCTGCTGTCCTGGGCCAGGGCACGGCTGCGCCCCCCAGCGACGACCTCTCCATGCTGCATGAGGCGCGGACCCGGGCTGGCCGTCCCGACCCGCTGTCCCCGCTGCCCTGCCGGTCCAGTCCGGCCCGGCCCGGTCCGGACAGCCACGAGTGCTGTGTCTGCAGAGCAGGTTGCACCCCTGCTGCCCGGCCGGCCTGGCGGGGTCCCGGGCGAGCCCCTCGCCAGTGCGCCTCACCCCTCGCCCGGCTGCGGGAGGACGATCAGAGACGGACGAACGCGCCGTCATTCATTCGGGGGCGCCAGCTTGGGGCACTGGGGACCTGACAGGCACGGCTACCGCCCGAGGGGCTCGGAGTCCCGCGACAGGCGCGCGCGCACGGAGACATATAGAGATGCGCGCGCACAGACACGTGCACGCGCGCACATAGGCTCACACACACGCACGCACACACAGACACGTACACAATCGCGCGCGCACACGCACTCTGTAGTGTGTACCACGGAAAGTGCTGCCATGGCCCGTGTGTACCCTGTCTGTGCGCGCGCGCTGCCTTGGAGAGAGGCCAGGGAGAGATCGGCAGGGAAGGCGCGGTGTATGTCCGGCCTGGAGAAACCCAGAGCGGAACTCCCGAGCGACAAGGACCGGACGCACTGGACGCGGCTCCGTGGGCCGCAGCAGGTGCGAGCGGCGCAGACCCGCAAGGAGCCCGAGGCCGCCCCGGCAGGGTGCGGGGTGCAGGACGCCGCCCCGGCGCGCATCTGGGAGTGGCGGCAGAGCTCTGTGGGCAGCGACCCCGCGGCTTGCACCCCGAACCTCGCCTTGGCGGCGCCCACGGGCTGGAGGGGGCAGCCTCAGCAGCGGGGCGGCCCGCGACGGAGGGCCGGGCGGCCTCCTCAGAAACTGGTCGGGCTCCCAGCTGCGACGCCAGCCACTGGCCCGCACCGCACCCCGCCGAGGCTTTCCCTAAGGCTTGGGCGGTCTCATGCTGGGCCTTCGCCGCCTGAAAGGCCCAGGGACAGAGGCAGGAGACGGGAAGACCAAGTGTCGCCTCCGTGGGACGGAACCTGTGACCTCTGGAACGACCTCCCCCATAGTGTAACGCAATGAGTTGTAATTGTCAGACTTCCTTTCCCAAGTTCCAGGTTACCCAGACCACAAAATGATAAAAAATCAGAAAACATCACTAGGGGAGAGGGATGTGATCGAATTATATGCAGTGAAACGCAGTATTTGTAAAAATCAACAGGTGTACTAATAAAAGAAAAGGGGAAAATTTAAAAAAATGAGAACGCATGGATAATAAAAGTCCCAGTTTCGGCTCTCAGCCCAGGAATAGGAAACCCGGGAAGGTGGTGCTGATATTGTCACCAGGCCTTTGTGTGGAGTGCGATTATGTGCGTAACGGGACTGCCGCCTGGACGGTGAGGGCCCCTGATTGACAGTGACACGCGGATCCTCAGGGGCGGGGCGGGGCGAGGAGCAGTTTCCACGCGGGGTGCGCGCACCGGCAGGAAGGCCCTCTGGGACCCGCTGGGCCTGGAAGCGGAGGAGCAGAGGGTGCGCCCTTCGCTGCAGGGTGGGGACCCGCGGAGAAGCCCACCCCGCCGGGCCGTGAGGGGCGCACTCCCCAGCCCGCCTGTCCCACCCACCCTGTGCTTTGGGCCTCTGACCCTCCTGGCAAGTGCAGAGCCGCGGGGACAGGGCCCTGGAGCTCCTGTCCAGGGCGGCATGCGGCTCTGTGGCAGGAAGTCTCTTTTAAGCTTCTTTGGAGCTTTAAACTTAATTTTTACGTCAATTTTCTTTCGGCGCTTCTGAGCCCCAGGTAGTCCTCTGGAGGGTTAGGGAGACCCGCGTTACTGCAAAATAAATCGCCGCAATGCTCAGGTTCGCCACCAGGTGGGGCTGAAGGCGACCAAATCCCGCTGGCTCCGGTCACTCCGGGGCTCAGTACAGGGCCTGCAGTGAGGCACAGCTGTCCCGTCTTCTAAAGATGACCAACACGACCTAGTGGACATCTCTAAGCCACGGGTGCAGTTTCAAATGATAGAATTGTGACTTTCTGGATTTACTCAGTGTATTCTCGCAGTAAGCAGTTTTCAGCTTCTGTAGTGTGATACTCGGAAAGGAGGAACGGGAGTCTGCAGATAATCAGCTTCCGGCTCACGTTCCCAGGGTACGCGGTTTATGCCCTCGATGCAGACGGTCCTATGCAGGTACTGAGCTTTCACACTAGCTATACCTGAGCTTATCCAATATATTTGATGTATACTTGAACGTCTGGTAAAATCTCAAAACGCTAGTGCCTCAAATCATCTCACCAATTCCTAGTTCTGAAATATCTTTAAAATGCTCATTCTAGCAGGGTGTGGGGGTGCCCCCAATCCCAGCATTCACGAGGCTGAGGCAGGATCACTGTGAGTTCAAGACCAGCCTGGGCTACAAAGTGAGTTCAAGGCCAGAAGCCTGAGCTGCATAGTGAGACTCCATCTCAAAAAACAAATCAGAACAACAACAACAAAAACCACCCAAACCTCTCATTCTTCTATGCTCTCACCCCTTCCTTTGGCATCTATTTATCCTGATCTACAGTTTCCTCGGGAAAGGTTTACTGAACATGATACACTGGAAATCTAAGTAAGTGACTTTTTAAGAATGAGGTATTTTTACTGTCACAATATAAAAATTTAGAGTTGTTTGCAGTGAGTCTTTCAAGGGAACAAGGGGAGATACGCAATCACTGAAGGCAGAAATCCTTCGTTTTTTTTTTTTTGCAGTTAAAAAGAAGCACTCTCCAAGGGGAAAGACGAGCTGGCAGTCCGGACTGGCAGTCATGGTTTAGAGCCAACTGCCCATGGGAGGGGGTGGGAAATGGGTTATATTTTCATTTGCAGAAAAAAACCCAGTGTTTCTGACAGGATCCGTGTTTGTTTTGAGTAACATCTGAGTCTCAGGGCACGAATGTGGACAGCTGGCCACTGCCCCTTCTCTCCTTGCCCCAGGCTCATCTTGCCCTGCGGAGGACCGTGGACAGCTTCATGGAGCCCAGGGAGGAGGCCAGGCAGACCTCGAATGGGCTTTGGACACTTGGACAGGAAATTATGGATGGGTACCAAAAATGTGGTCTGGGAATGTGCTGTCACCCTGACCCTCTGGGGAGGATGTAAGGAGGAGACCAGAGAGGGTCGGGTGTCTGTGACAATCTAGTCAGTGCCTGGCATGAGACCGCCCCTCAGCAATATTTACAAAGCAGTTAGCAAACACGAGTACATTAGACACTGGGCCTAAACCCTTCTATATATGATTTCATCTCCAGGAGAACTCCACGGCATAGGAAATATTATGTCCACCTCGCAGACATAAAAACTGGAGCAGACAGGTGGACAGACAAAATAGTATGCTACTTTGACCAGATTTTAAGACTAATGGTACCCAGAACTGCTGTATTATATTGGTGAGTAAATTAAATGAAGTGTTTCTTGTTATTGATAAAGAAACTGCGTTTCTCCTGTATACTATGCAGGAGGTACTTTCTTAGTGCTGGGACAAAATACTTGGCACTCACAATGGAAAGGTGGAAAGGTGTGTTTTAGCTCAGTTACAGAGGTTTCAGTCCAGAGCTGCCTGGCTCCACGGCAGAGGAACGGCCAGAGGGGAAAGAGTCCCCGGTAGGCAGACAGGAAGCAGCAACCCTCCTGCTTTCCCTTTCTATGTAATCCAGGCTACAAGCCTCTTGGTTGGTGCCTGTTGGTGCGGCCTCTTCCTTTTCAAAGGTCTCACCCTAACCCGATTTCCTGTCGCCATGAGGGATGAAGACTTGTGGGAAGCAGCAGTGACTCAAAACGCAGCAGGCAGATGGGGACACCCCAGCATGGGACCCATCACCTCTCCTGTTCTCATCCCCCTAACTGATGCTCAGAGGGTGCTCCCGGACACACTGGTGAGAGGAGACCAAACTCTGGGGAAGATCTGATGAGCAAACCTGGGCAATACCCTGGGAGAGGCGTTCAGTGCGTCCCGAGGCCATCTGCACATACAGTGCACGCATGTGTACATCAGGAACAAAATCCCACATAAGTATTTTAATACCAATGTATGGAGACGCCACGAGATGAACACAAGTTGCCTTTTGGCCTCCGCAGTTACAAGGGGCGCTCAGGATGGTGGCCGTCCACCCCCAGACACAGGTGACTGTGGGAACTGCTGACCTGCACATGTTTGGCAGACTGTGCACAGTATAGCTCAGTTCAGGGATTCGATTCTCTTCACAATTCTGGTCACAAATTAACTGGACAGGGTGGAATCAATTTCAGTGGTCAGGCTCAACGCTGACCTCACAGCGAAATCTGATTCGGTTCTTGTCCAATTTGCTTGTGACCAGACCTTGCAGAAAGGATTAAGTTCCTGAACCCTGAACCAAGGCGCCACTGTATCTCACAGGGGGACTGAACCCAGGGCCTCCCCATTGAGCTACACCCCATTTTTATTTTTTGAGACAGAATCTAAATTGTTAAGTCGTCCAGACTGGGCTTGGTTTGTGATAAGGCTGCCTCACTTTCCCAGAATGCTGGGATTATAGGCCTGTTACACTGTGTCTGGCTTGAGAATATGCTTTATAAAAGTGTTCCTGGGATAGTTTAAAAATGGAAAGACAATAAACTTCAAAGACAAATATTACACACATCTTGTTTAATGTCATAAAAATGAAAATTGAAAGAGTCATAAAACCAAAACTACCAACTACATCAAGAAATTCCATTATTTGGGAAAAAACAACAATGGAAAAATTCCCCTGTAAAAACTTTTGTGCTAAAGAGGAAATCAAAAGCGAGACTGATGGGCAAGGGGTGCAGCTCCTGACGGGCAGGGCCTGGCTGCCCTGCGGGAACCAAAATGCTGGAACTTAAGAGCACCCGGAAAGAACAGCAGTGACAACCCTAAGGCACCGAAGTGATTTAACTCAAGGGATACTCAAAATTAAGTCCCAATCCTTCAATCTCATGTTACTGAGAAATAAATGAATCAATTACTGAGTCTAGAAGTTGGGAAAAATAAGGAAAAGCAAAAAGGAAGTTTATTGAAGTAGAATAAAAATAAAAATATAAATAAAAATAAAAAAATAATTACAGAACACAGGTATGGTCCTCTGGGGAAGCCACACACCACAGGCCACCTGTTGTTACCTTTCTCCTTTCTTCCGACAGGGCTTCCTTTTGCCGTGCAGGCTGATCGCCAGCGTGTGAGTGTAGGCGACCCTCCTGCCTCCTGGTGTGTGCACCCAGCTGGTCTCGGGAAGTCAGGCACAGGCACCATACAGAGTGCGAGCAAGCCACTTGCGCAGGAGAGGAAGGGAGAACCAGGGTCCGCACAGGCAATCAGCCTGAAAGTCTGCATGAAATGTGTGGGGCTCCTGATCCCCGGCAGGACATCAGAACCACGCAGACCAGGTGCCACGGACAGCAAGAAAACCGTCAGGACCAGTTTCCTAAGTGTCTGCAGGACCAACAATTTCACTGAAATTTTAAGGGACAGAAAATTCCAAAGCTATTTAACTGGTACAGAGCATAGAAGTCGGGGGAAAGTTCCCAAATCCATCAGCATAAAACTCATAGAAACCTTCTCAGAGATACTGTGGGTGCCCATAAACACACACACACACACACACACACACACACACACACACACTACATTCACTGGCAGGTATAAATGCCAAATATCTCAAACCAAATAGGAAACAAGCTAGCACCATATTAGAAAATACACACTGTCAAATAGAGTTTATTTCAGGAATGCAAAGATGAGCATGGTTTAGTTACAAAATGTATTTATAAAATCCACCATACCGGAATCAAAGGAGAATCACTGGAATACCCCACGGATGTTGAAAAGGCATGTAATAAATTTCAACGTGCATTCTTAGAAACCTTGTTTGAAATGGAGTCAGTGGACACTCAGAGTGATCACACCTATGTATCTCAACCCTGCTCACAGCCAGTGTTAATGTTTTTCTACAAGCATTTACTAGTGATTAAATGACACACAAATTCGTAGGCAATCTGCCTATGGAGGCCTGTAAATGAGATGATTTCAAACTATAGGAAAGCGAAGTCTGCTGGCTGGGTAGAAGACTAACACTACCAATCCATTGCCTTTACCCAGTAATACATGGGAAGGCCTTTGCTGAGGCACAGTGACAAAATGATGAGGTTTATGAAGGATAAACCTTAAAGACGTTTGACATTTCTGTAAGGTAAACTACATCTGAAGGAAATAACAGCCCCCCAAATAAACAGGCACAGTTCAGAGAGAGGGCACCATGACTTAGAAAAATGCTCTCCACAGGATGACATAAAATTCCCCTAATTAACAAAATTAAAACTGTCCAAAAAAAAAAAAAAGTTTGTGGGTCTCAAGTTGATTCTAAAGCTCAGATGTAAAACTATGCAAGAATATTAGACATATTCTAAAAAGGGTTACTAAACCAATGTAGTGCTGGCACAAAAGGAGACAGATGGGGCTGGGGATTTAGCTCAGCGGCATAAGCAGCTGCCTTGCAAGCAGGAGGTCGTGAGTTCGATCCCCGGTACCGATAAAAATGAAAACGACAAAAAAAAAAAAAAACAAAAAACAAAAAACAAAAAAAACCACACACAAAAGGAGACAGATTAACTGCAAGGAGAATTAGTGTAGAAACATACCCAGACAACGCGGCATTTTACAACACTGAAGCTGAATCTCAAATAAAAGAAAGATGTACTATTCAACAAGTAGCTTAAAAAAACCCAAGCCCTAAATTCAGGATCGACCACTAATTTAAAGATTATAAAGTACCAGATACTCGATTTTAAGTACTTGAAAGTTACTGACGTATTTCCTCTTGGGAAAGTGCAGAAAATGCATGTACAGTACCATCTGTGTTGGGACATGTGCCGTTTGCAGACATCCAGTCACACAGAGCGAGCCGCTTCCGGAGGGCCGGATAAGAACGTGGCACTGGCACACGTCTCCGAGGGGGAACTAGGACTGGCCTCAGGGGTGGGGAGGGACCCACTTCCCGCTGCCGAGCCAGGAAGGTGTATTACCTAATAAAAAAAGGCAAAGCACACGCCAGAAAATAAAACCAATCTCCTTGTCAAAAGTGTATTATTAAGAGGACCTAAAAGTTTAACTTACTGACCTAATTCTTTCAGAGTACTCTTATGGGCGCTGACGGGTATGTAAAAATAACAGAGAACAGACCCAACTGCGCCAGCTGACCTTCCGAGGCCCAGGCCCAGGCCCAGGCGGCCCTCACCCGGCCGAGTACCAGCTAGTTTTCCTCTGCAGTGACAAGCATGTGCTGGTTTTCCCTTTCTTCTGCACTGTTTTATAGCCTGAATCTGAATTTGTAACATGATTCAACAAAAATAAAAAACGACTTTGATTTAAAAAGTACCTCAAGGCAATAAAAAATCATTTTAATTTTTGATACATATTAAAACATTTTAGTCAGTTCTTCCTGACAGCACAACAGGACAAGTACACAAGACCTCAAACATGCTTTAAAATGACATTCAGCAAAGTACTTAAATTTAATAAATAGCAATAATCACACAAATACATTTTGTACTCAATCATGAAGCTACTAAAACAGACAGCTAAAGAATAAATAAACAGGAGTCGGCAATAAAAAAATAAACAGGCTTTGCAATTCTTTCTACTAAAAAAGGGAGGCAATCTGAATTTTGTCTTAACTCGCTTTTCTTCAAAATTACAGCATGACCCCCCCCATGAATAAAATACACTGAAAAAATTCACTCTTTACAATAACGTGGCTTTTAAACACAACAAATAAATATGACACTGGCAAAGCGACTTCAAGTTGTGATACAAATGCTCCCCACCCCAAACAAAGCTATGGAAACAGAGTTGCTGTGGTAGCAAGTATCAGTATTAAAGTGATCGTGCAAGTGCACTGAACTCGGCTGAGGCCTCCACACGACTTTAGTGCAAATCCGTAGGGTCCAATGCAGGCGCGGCCCTAGGATACTAGGGCCAGACGTTACCAGGAGGAACTTACATGTACCAGCTCTGTACACTTTATAAAGTTCAAAGTTCAATGCATAGTAGAGGATCTTCATCTGCTTAACTCTGTCCTGAACAGAGGTCAAAACAGAAATGACTTGGGATCTTACCATTTGGTTTGTACCATGTTAGAGTATTAAAGTCAGTATTAGAAAAACCTATAAAAGTTTATTTTTGCCATTAACTCATCTAACTCTACCTAAATCCACATCACTCTATGTCAAACATAAAAGTTTCGAGAAGTTTTTCCCTTTGACAAGATAATATTATGATAAATTCAACAGAAGACAACTATGTATCACACAAATAAAAGGTGAGCGCAAGAGTTGTTCTCTCCGCACACTGACCACCTTCCTGTCTAGTGTACTGTTACAAGATGTGCTGGCCAAAAAGCATGAAGGGCTGGACCGAGAGGTACTTCTGCACGAACTCGGTAACGCAGGATGGGACCGAGGACGAAGGCGTTCAGCAGCTGTGTCCACCATGACTATGGCATCAGGCTAAGAGCCACACGGCGGGAGGGCACGCGGGGCAGGACGTAGCTCTGGGCGCAGAGTCGCAGGGCCTCCAACTGGGCCATGCAAGCGGACGGAGCAGAGCGGGAGGGCGTCCTGCACGCTTCCCTCAGACTGGACTGGACAGGACCGGATGGCACAGGTCGGCCGGTCTAGCACAGCAGCAGCGCCTCGTCGTCGCCGGCCTCGCCCTTGCGCGCCACGTCCTGGCACGCGTCCGGCACCTGGGCGGTGTGCACCATGCCACAGCGCTCGCAGGGCCCGTCGCGGCCGGGCCTGGCAGCGGGGAGGGCGGCGCCGGGCGGCGGCCGAGGCCCGGGCCCCGGCTCGGGGACCAGGTCCAGCAGCGGCCGGGAGCAGTCGGCGCCGTCGGCGGCGGGGATGAGCAGCTCCACGTCGTCGTCCTGGTCCTCCTCCTCGCGCGCGCCCCCGCCGGCCGCGGGCGGCAGCTGTCTCAGCGGGCTCTGGCTCTGCGGCGCCGGCCCCGCGCGCCCCAGCGTGAGCCGCACCCAGCGCAGCCCCTGCGTGACGCGGCTCAGCGCGCTGGAGAGCTGGTGCCGCGCGGGGCTGGCGCCCGGGGCCTCGGCGTGCGCGTCCCTGTCCCTGTCCCGCGCGTGGGCCGCCTCAGCCGCGCCCCGCGTGCCCTGCGCGCTCCCCGTGGCCTCCACGGCCGGGCCCAGCGCCACCTTCTGTGGCAGGGGGGCCGCCACGCCGCCCGCCGCGCCCCCCGCGTCCCTGCGCTCGGCCTCCGCATCGGCGTCCTCGGATTCCACCGAAAACAAACCCCTGTGCGCGGGGCCGCGCTCTGCGTCTCTGCCGGCGCCCGGGCTGGGCACTGCCTCGTCGCCGTCCGCTGAGACCAAGGCCAGGGAGCCTGAGCGCCGCGACCTGGCGAAGCTGAAGATCCGGTTCCAGAGGCCACCGGACCTGCCAGCCGTGGGCAGCCTGATGGACGTGAGGCCCAGCTGCGACCGCACGGCCAGCCGCAGGTTCTCCAGCACGGAGGCCTAGGAGAGAAAGAGAGCGCGCGCTTAGCAGAGCCGGTCAGGGTCTGCAGAAGGCAGATGCTTACAGTCCCCTCCAGGCCTGCTGACCGCTGTCAGGCCGCCAGGAACCCACAGAATGGACCTAACCTGGTTCCTGTTCCCATAGTGCTAGGCAACATATGTGCATTTCATGGAAAAATGTAAAAATTCCAGTTATTAGTAAAAATACGTTATGGCTAAACTCTCTGCTGACAGCTAGGACTGACGCTTATCTGTATGAGCGTTCGTGGCGGACGAATCACATTCTGAGGCTCTGGAATTAATCAGTGACGCGGGTCTCCGCCTACTGAGTGCACGATCTCCGTGATGCTTCACGTTATGTTCAGTTTCCACAAAGATGTTTAACGTTCACGGCCGAACAGTCACTCTGTCTGGAGACCTCCCAGAAGGCTCCCAGAAGTAATACCGAGGGTAGGAAATAGGACCATTCGCTGTGTGTAAAGCAGGGTACGCCAACAAGTACCAGTATTTCACAGAGCTATCCAGTCTGAAAACCAAGTCCTTTTTGTTTTTAAAACACAGAGCGAGTTAGACTTGATTTATAAGGTTAAACTCTCCTAAACATGTGGCCATTTTCAGAGTTGGGTCTCAAGGGTTTGTTGAATGAATGAATATTAAGGTTTTAATCGCACTGTCACAGTTGGAAGAATTAATGCATTTGTAATGCAGCTCTCAGCACAAAAATACTTGTTCATAACATTACACAAAATGTATTTGGATTCCTCAGTCTTCAAGGGTTAAGTTTTATTGCCTACAGTTCTGTGTTAACAATAATTAGGATTATTCTTTTAAAAACTGACTTTTAACTAGCATATATGGAAAATCACTGTACTGAGCAACTTGAATAAAAATCTGGTCTTTGTTCTAGGCAAATGCCACTCTTGAAAAATGTGCAGTATTTCTGCAGCCCTCCTGCGCCGCCTAGTGGTTACGAGGAGCACTGACGCTCGGAGCTGCTCAGGGTACCACACTTTGCAGGCCAGGGAGGTGAGGCCCGGAGTCCCTGAGGCATGCGAGGATCCCTCATCAGCTGAGAGGACCGGACTGTGCATTTAAGAATCGGGGTCAGCACCGTGGTCAGCGTCTCGGGTTCTGCGTTCCAGGGGCAGTGTGGCCTGGGCTCCGGGCCACGCAGCCAGCAACACCTGCGAGCTCCTTAGCTGCCTGGAGCCACACCAGGGACCCTGAGGAGTCAAGCGGACAGTGCTCGCTTTGGGGAGAGCCTGCCAGTCTAACGCAGATGCCACAGGGGCATGCGTGGGGCCGCGGGAGCCACCTCAGAAAACACTTCTCTTTCAAACAAGTTGGTAAGCTGGGTGTGCTGGCACACGCCTGTGATCCCAGCACGTGGGAGGCTGAGGCAGGAGGATCCTTGCGAGTTCCAGACCAGACTGGACTACAAAGTGAACTCAAGCACTCATTATACAGCCTGAATTGCATAGTGAGAGCCTGTCTCAAAAAGAAAACAGAACGAAAAAAAACGGTAAATCACATTATTTTCCTTTTAAAAATCTGCTACAAGCATTCAATAATCTGTTAGCAAAATTTTCAGACTTGATGCGGCCCCTCCTGAGGGAGAACCACCAGCGTCTCCTGAGATCTGCACCATGATGGAACTTACTGTGCTGGGAAACCAAGCAACCAGCCCGCCTCCCTGGTGAGCAGCTGTGGTGTGGCAGGCTGTGGCCCCTCCAGGGGGAGAACCACCAGTGTCTCCTGAGACCTGCACCATGTTGAAACTTACCATGCTAGGAAACCAAGCAACCAGCCCGCCTCCCTGCTAAGTGGTAGCGAGCCTACCAGTGCACTGACTGAGAGTCAAACATCACACCTCCCCTGCCCCCCGCTAGCAAATGGGAGCCAGAGGTCTGAGCATCTCTTGGGAGGTTGACCATATGCAATATAGCAAATAAGGGGGATTTCCTTCTACTATCTCTTTGAAGGCAAATACTCTTACTACTGCTTTGCTTTATTCTGATTAATGGTACAGCTCTATTCAATATTCTGTTTTGGTAAGTTCTATAATGTTCTGTACTTATTTTGCTATATGTGATTAAAAGGACAACTATTGTGAAGATAACGAGATATACTGTGATACCTATTACTGTTATCCCGCTAACCTGCTGTGAAGTTCTGTACCAATTTCACTACATTGTCTTAATTGGCTTTGTTCTGTTGTATTTCACTACCTTCCAAATAATAAAATTTTTTAAAAAAAACTTTCAGACTTGAGAGTTAAATCTTAATAACCGAAGCATCCAGCTTCTCCCTCGTGGACCTGCTCCTGCTCTGGCTTGGTGGAAGCGACCCCAGGGAGGGCTGAGCTGCCCCGTGCTGTGGCCCGTGAGCCTGTCTGCACCTGCTGGGGGCTCCTGGGCCACCATGCCCCTGCCTGCCACCTTCCAGGCCCATGCACGTGGCAGTGCAGCCCGAGCAGCAGCGGGCACAGTGACAGGACCCAGGGTGGGAGCGAAAACTAGCTGTTCCTCGTGAGGCAGTGCCAACACAGAAAGAAGGCACAGTGTAGGCTGCTTTTCCATTTTGCACATAAAGTTTCAAAGAATGGAAGCTGGGAATTACAAATAACTTCTGGAAAAGTACTTGAAAACTACAATTTCTCACCAAAGATTTCCTGAAAGACAAGTCGGGTAACAGACTGTGACCAGAAATCTCACTTACCAGGTGAAATGTGTTCCCTTGGAACAGTTAAGTCACTGAGAAAACAATATTCACCAATTTTTCTTAGCTCCTAACACCGAGGACAATTTTTATAGACGTTGCTGGATAAATTTACAACTGATGTATAAGCTCCTATGTCTTAAAATGAAACAACACAATTTTAAGCCTTGAAAAAATAAATTTTAAAAAACCCCGTAAGAAGTGTGAAGAACTCTGAAGCATTAGTAGGAATAAGCTCCTATACCAAGAAAATGGGTTGGAGCTCAGCACAGAACCCAATCCAAAGAAGTTCTCCCTGAGGCGAGGAGAACCTGTGTTGCCAGCACTTTCACTTGTAACTGATTCACCTACAGGCAGTATTTTACCGGCATGTCACGTTATCATTCAGTATTAAATCTCTAAATGGGGGGCTGGGATCTGGCTCAGCGGCACAAGCGCCTGCCTTGCAGGCGTGCAGTCATGAGTCCAATCCTCGATACCCCCCCAAAAAAACAATCAATCAATTAATAAATCTCTAAATGTTCAGTCCAAACAGTTTGCCAAAGTGACTTTGGAATCTTAGTGCACCAAATTATCCTAGACAGTGAAATGCTCAAGAAACATACATCTCAATCAGAAGGGCAAAAAAATGTGCTTTTTTGTCATATTTGCTGAAGTGTAATAAAAATATATAATTTCAAATTCTCCATTTATTTTATCTTTGATAAAGGACATCAGGAAATGAAAAGATGTCCCCTGCTCCGGGACAGGCAGAAGCAGTCCTGGCAAAATGGTCACTTTCCAGAGGGGCCAAACAGGTTCCTGCAGTCCCAGTCAAAATTCCCATAAGCATCCCCACAGAACTAGAGAAAACAGTTCTAAACTCAGATGGAACCAGAAGAGCCACAGGGTAACAGAAACAATCCTGGGCAACAAGATCAAAGCAGGAAGGGTCACAGTTTGGGGCTGTACATTATGTTTCAAGCCACAGTGAAAAACAGCACAGTGCTGGGCACAATAGCACATGCCTGTCATCTGAGCATTTGGGAGGCCGAGGCAGGACGACTGCTGAGGGTTTGAGGCCAGCTGGGCTACAGAGTTAAGTTGCCTGAGCTGTACAGAGAGGCCCTATCTCAAAAAACAGAACAAAACAAAACAAGACACACGAAGAGCATGGGATTGGCACAAAAGCAGACACATGGATCAGGAGAACAGAGCACGAGGAATCAGAAAAGAGCCCAGGCACACGCAGCCACCTGAGCTTTGCCAAAGAGGCCAAACATGCACGCTGGAGAAACAGCCTCTCTACTCAAGATGCTGGGAAACCAGCTGCCCTCACAAGTGAGTGAATCTGGTACCCAACCAAAATCCAAATGGGTCAAAGACCAAAACATTAAAATAGCAACACTGCTGGATGATAAAGAAGTCAAGCTCCTGACAACACAGGCGCAGCAGACGAGGACTTTCTGAACTGAACAGAACCCCAGCTGCACAAAAAATAACATCAAGAATCAGCAAATGGGATCATATCAAATTAAAACACTATTTTGCACAGCAAAACAACAGAATGAAGAGACAACTTACAGAACAAGAAAAACTCTGCTGGCCATTCCCCAGAGGACTAGCATCTAGAATACACAGCACTCAAAAAATTAGGCCCCCTCAAAAGAAGACCCAGTGAAAAGATGGGTGACTACAATGAAGACACACTTCTCAGAAGAAAGTACAAATGGGCAATAAACACATAAAAAAAAGCTCAGCCTCTCTAGAGTCACTAAAGAAACGCAAGTTAAAACACTGAGCTTCCACCTTGTTTCAGAAAACCTAGCTGTCATCAAGAAATTACCCGTAACCAGCGCTGGTGGGGCTATGGGCAGAAAGGGACCCTCCTACCTTGTTGGTGGGAATGTAAAGTATTATAGTACTACAAAAATCAGGACGGAGATTCCCTGAAAGCCTAAAGAAGATTCCACTCCATCCCGAAATCCCCGACAGAGCGATGCCCACCCCGAGGTCAGGCAGAGCAGGCCTCGAGGCCAAGGCGTGGAAGCAGCCTCTGCACATCAGCAGGCGAGGCGAGGGGGAGGACGCGTGGTGTTTGCACAGAGTCTCACCCTGCCGAGGGACAGAGGGGTTCACCTGTGGGAAGATGGGTGCGCTTGGGATCATAGTGCCACATGAAATAAATCAGACACAGGCTCCAGTACCACATGGTCTCTCTTAAAAGAGAAACCAAAAATATAAAGAACAAAATGAAAGACTGACTAACTATAGGAAATGGGGATGGCTCAGGAAGGGAGGGAGCTGGGAGGAGGAGGGGGAGGGGGAGAGGGGAGGAGGGGAGGCGGCGGCAGCAGACACACATGGAGGTGAGCTGTGTGCCCCCCTGACTCCAGAGGAACGCCATCACTAGGGACCACAAAAGGGTTCCAATAAAAATAAAAAGTAAGAGAGGAGAAACCGAGTGCACCTGATTAGGCGAACACACTGGAAAGTCCTCCACGGGTGGGATCAGGCCCTGCGCGATCAGCTGTCCGTACGAGGGAGGCGCTTCTCTTCTCAGCAGTTCGGCTTCCACTCTGGACAGCTGGGTCTCAAAGGATCTTGGGGAGCAGATGGGGTAAAAAGGGTTAGGAAAGGCAAGTCTACACAGCTACGTCCCGTCATCAGCGATTACAACCCCCGCCCCCAAGACATCCTAGAAGCTCAGTCCTTCAGTCCTGCGTGGGGCACAGGAGGACAAGGCAGGCCCTGTCCTGGAGCTCCACACAGCGCCGGCCTGGACCGCCCTGCCAAAGGGCAGTGCCCCTGTGAAAGGCACAGGGTGCAGGGAAGCCCTGGACTGTGTTTGACCTCAGGCGACACTCGCTGAAGAGTCCCACCGCCGCTTCATCCAGCAGGTTCAACACAGCTCCTCCAGGTAGGAAGGAGGGAAGCGACCCCAGTCGTCTTTCGGGAAGACCTGGGGTGTGGGCTGAAGACGCCGACCTTCCTGTGCTGTTCCAGCATGCGTGGGCCGGGTTTCTGGCTCTGCACACTTGGTGGGCGAGGAGACGCAGCAGTGGCTGGAAGGCACTGGGAGCTCCGTGCCAACTGTAGTCTCCGCTGCTGCCAGCGCCGTTTGCTACATGGATCATCACAGCTCTGGGGCCGGAAGGTCCCCTTCTCCACAGGAGCAGCGCGACGACCTCTTCCCCTGCTTCTTCCGGGTCAGCTTCCTCCCACACTGCACTGAAAACTCCTCTCCCTGAAGGTCACCTCCCAACGCTGAGCCACTTCCCGCTGACCGGAGAGCTCAAGGGTAGCTCTCCCAGCACCCTGCACCATGGCAGAACCTTGCGCCCTTCCTCACCGCCCGTCAGCCCTTTGGTATCTTGGGGTCCAGACATACTGATGGGGCTTCCCTCCGGAGCAAGGCTTGGCATTCCCACCTCTAAAGTTTCCAAGGGTTAGCTTGTTGATTCTCCTGCACTGGCCTTCGGCCTTCGGGCTTCTGCATTCTGCAAAATTCACACATTCCAGGTGGCGCTGCCCCAGGGAGCCCTCCACCCTCCTCACATCAGGAGCTGCTGATTTCATGGCACAGGCCTTACAGCTCACACTACAGTTCATCCAGGGCAACACTTCCTTCCTCCTAACTGGGAAGTGCTTGTGAGACTGTGGCTTACCTACTTTTCACTTGCAAAATGCTTTGAATGTATCTGGCTATCAAAGGGGGAATTAATGAGTATTAAAAACTGCAATTTAAGGGGCTGGGGATTTAGCTCAGCGGCATAAGTACCTGCCTTACAAGCAGGCGGTCGTGAGTTTGATCCCCAGTACCGATAAAAATGAAAAAGACAAAAAAAAAAAAAAAAAAAAAACAAAAAACTGCAATTGAAAGTTGCAGCTTGCAAATTCCTATGGAAAGGTTCATCTAAGATAGAGCTGGCCCATGGCTGTCCCACTCTGACCGCACCCGCTAGAGTCTCAAAACTCAAGCTGATGAGTACAGACTGGCTTTCCTCACCTCAGACCCTACTCAGTGGTCTGTGCCGAGTTTGGCTTTGAAGTCTGGGCTTTTCACACTAATATTATAAACGACGGTAATATGCATACATTTTCAAACTAATAGACCCTAAAACATCTTGCTAATGCCGCTGAAGTACTGCAGCACACACACACACACTGGGCCGGCCCTCGGCTGGCCCGTCTGGACACTGACCTCCGTTCGAACATCCGCAGGGAGTAGAGCTTGCACGTGCAGCCCAGGGCGATGACGAGCAGCAGGCCGCAGACAAGGCTCCCGATGACGGCCGCGGTGATCACTCTGGTCGGCACGATCACTGGGCAGTTCTCCTCGTCACTGCCGTCCCCACAGTCGTCCTGCGAGTCACACACCCAGCTCTCAAACACACAGCGATTGTTCTTACAATGAAAATTGCCCGGCTGGCAGAAAAAGCAGTTTTTCTCATCTGAGCCGTTGGGGCAGTGATTCTGGTAGTTGCAGCGGTCCGAGCGGGGATAACAGACTCCGTTTCGGGAACAGGGAAACTCTTCCTTCTGGCACATGGTACAGTTGATTTCGTCCCTCCCGTTTGGGCAATGCCAGTACCCGTCACAGCGCTGCTGCTCGGTGTAGCAGCCCCAGTTCCCGCCACAGGGTATTTCCCAGGGCAGACAGAAGCCATCGACCTGGTAAGTGGCATTGAACCCCCTGGCGGCATTTACTTTATCTGCACAAAAATGCACCCGTATTTGTCCCGAGGAAGAGACAACTGTGAGGGGTGCGTGCGAATCGAAAGCAGTCAGTGCCCGCAGAAGCTTGTGTGGATTCTCCTCCAGCCCATCGTATATTTTCACATAGTCACCATAGCCAGTGCCGTCGAGTTTGAAGTCCGTGAAGCGTATGATGACCTTACGATGGTCACCCGTGTCTATCAACCAGGTACAGTTGCTTCCGGGAGGATAGAAGTCAGGGTAGTTGGGAGAATTGAAAGTACCGTAGAAATACTTCAACCACTGCCCACACGTCGGCACGTCACAGTCGATCTCGTCCCCGAGGTCCAGGCAGTCGATGTTCCCGTCGCATTTCAAAGACTCGGGGAGGCAGGTGTAAGCCTTGGTGAACCTGGACAGACACTGGAACTGGTTGTATGCGCAGGGCTGAAAGGAAGCAGCCGTGGGAGGGCTCGCTTCTCGGGCACAGACCTCCTCATCAGAGCCGTCTCCACACTCGTCCATGCTGTTACACCGCCAGGCTTCCGGGATGCACTTCCCGTTCCCACAGCGAAACTGGTCACAAGCACAGCTGGGCTCCTCTGATTTTCCTGGGAAACGGGCACCACGGGAAGAGAAGAAGAAATATCCTTCAGAGGACATCTAGGTATTTCACAATACATACTAAGCCCAGATGTTCACAGTTCTTTAAAAATGTTGTTAAAAAACAGGTAAATTCTAATGACAAGTTAGTCCTGGCACTAATTAGTCAGCTATGTATTGTCTATTATTTTCTCTATGAGTCCTTTGCATTTTGAACCAAAGACAGGATGGGTCACTTCTATTTTTGCAAAGAGCTACAATACTGAAGAATTTAAGCAAAATGATGTGAGATTTGTACAACAGTAGGATATACTACCTACAACGCTAAGAAACATTATACCAACATCATTAAAGCCACAGACATTTTTCAGTGAAAAACCGCAGTCACACAATGGCCTTGTGACTGTTTTCACATCCTTCTCGCCTGTGTGTTCACACACCTGCACAGGATCCTTCCAAGCACTTCCCCAGCGTGCTTTGCAAGCTCCTATTTAAACTCAGTGTTCCATATGATCATGAAATTCTCACATTTAACAATTTCTATTCTGTAACACAACTGAAAAATACTGCATACATTTAAGCTAAAGATATAAATTTGTTCACTAAATGAACAAATGGAAGAAAAAAAGTGACATGCCCACGGAATCCCAGTGGTCCCTGAATCCCAGCCAAGTAATGAGATGGGAGACCGCCAGGCTCCCACTCAACAGCCATGAGCCCATTCTCACCTCTCCACTAACAATATCTAGTCCAAGTGGAAAGTGAGTCAGAGGCAAAATATTACAGAGCCTATGGTAAGAACCGGGCGGGGGAGCAGATATTTGGTAAGAGAAACTAATTTCAGGTGATGTAAAATAATTTTTAGCAACAATTACATGTAACTAATGCTCTGAATTTCTGCATTTATGTGATCAGTTTACCCTTTTTAGATACAGTTTAAGAAAGGCAAAAAAACCAAAAGACTTCTGAGACTACGAACTCGGAAGGTCAAACTGGTCACTTTGAAGGTATAAAACAATGGAAGTGCACACCACAGCGCACATTCTGGGAACTCTGGCGACGTGGAGAAGCACAGGGAAGAAACCTGACCCCTGCAGCCCTGGTCACCCTGCCGGGCGGGCTACGCAGCGCGCTCTAGGCCCTGCCTTGAGCTCTGTCTTCAGCCCGCAGCCGCAGGCCTCCTCCTCCGAGTGCACGCTGTGCACGTGACTGAGCAGTCAGCAGGCAGGCTTCGCTGCCAAAGCTTTCTTCCTCTGAAAGACGCACCTGAAAAGTAGGCCAGCCTGAAGCCCTTCCTGGAGACGCTGTCATCTGAGTGGAACCTGACCCACACGTGGTCCTGCGAAGAGATGTACGGAGGGGGGATGGTGGAGCCACAGGCCCTGTAACTCTCCACGTTCTGGAATGTTTCTATCGTCAACCAGTCCAAACTGCATCTTCTGGAACCCTGAACGTCAAAATCCTGAAAACTGGAGGAAGAAAAGCCAGAAGTTTCTCAATGATATCCTGGATTTAAGGACAGTATATTAAACTCTGTACATTCACTAGTTGTTCTGGGGTTTCTAGGTGTATGACCCCACCATCAGAAAGTAGTTTATGTTGTCTGTGTCCCTAGTATCTGTATCTTCTCCCCAGATTCCAGAGTAGTTCTGGAATACCAGACTCCAAAACTGCCAAAAAACAAAACAAAACAAAACAAAACAAAAAAACAGGTGATGGTTGGAATCTTTTTCTTTTTCCTTAGGAAAAACCATTTCTAATTCAGAACACCCTAAACTGCTCTGTGTTTGAAACAGAACGGCTGTCCCGTAACCTGAGGCAGAGAAGAATGCACAGAGAAAGCCCGCACTCTCTTATGTTTAGCTGGTTCATCTGCTTGCTTAATTGGAACACTTATACATCAGTTATATTTTCTGGAGACAAATAGTATAAATCTGAACAAAATGAAAAAAAAAAAAGCAAATAAAAATTTTTTTGGTGTAAAATCCCCATCTGGGAAAACAGAAGATTTTATAATCAAACATGATTTTGTAGTAAAAGGGCAAAAATAGCCAAATATTAGATCACATGCAAAATCAGTTGTTGCTTATGAAAATCAGAGAAACCAAAATATTTTTCCAACATCTGAATATGTCTCACTAACAAGCAAAAGATCTGACTTTTCCTGCTTCACTTTCAAATAAGTGACAAGGAAGTTAATTATCCAAGCTGTGTATCAGGGAACTTGCTTATAAGTATACTGAGTAGCGCTAATGAAGGTGGACAATTTGTTCTTGGTTTTTCACTATTATGAACACTTTTAGGAGTCCACAGATGTCTATACATCTTTCTTATACACGCGACCAAGCATTTTTCTAAGATAGTTTCCTACAAGTAGTAGTCCTGGTCAAAAGTTAGGATTCCTCTTTAAATTTGACAGATACTGACAGGAAATGTTTACAGTAATTCACAATTCCACCAAGTGTGCAACAAATTACCATACACTCCATACCTCTGGCAAAATCAAACTTTTAATTTTAAAAATTACATGGTCAGTTACATGACCAAAATAGATCACTGCTGGTTTGCATTTCCTACCTTACTGAGCTGAGATTCATCCCTGTGTTTACCGGCTGTCTCCATGCTCTTCCTGTGAATGCGCTGATGCTTCCCTTCATCCGTGAGGTTTTTCTTCATTTAAGGCCTCTTTGTATGTTAAAAGGTGCCCACGCTTGGCTGTTATCGGGGACCAGGTCACCCCCGCCTCTCATCCTGGAGCTGTGGTACGCTGGGTGCTCCTCAGGCTGTCCCCATGGTGTGCGGTAACACTGCTCAGTGTGGCTCTGTGCGCCCCCTTTGAAGACACGCACAGCGAGCTTTCCCTGGCTCCAGCGGCTGTCCTACCTTTTGACAAATCCTACCTTCTGCATCTTTTGCCCACTAAAGAAACTTGTGTGTTTCTTGAGGTATAAAAACTAATCTTATAATCTGAACTCAAATCTTTTGTTAGACATGTGTATTGCTAATTGATTTTAGTATGTGATTTTTTTTCTCATTTTTCTTAAAGGAATCTTGTACTAAACAAAGGTTTTAAATTTTGCTTTTGGTAAAATCTAATTTATTACCTTTTTCTTTATGTTTAGCATTTTTAGTGCCTTACGATCCCAAAAATATACGTATTTTTTCTTATTTTTGGCTTTTACATTAAACTTAGGATTTATTTTGAAGTGATTTTGTGTGTTCTCAAGTAGGGCCCAAGACATATTCTCTCTTTTTCTCTTTCATTTATTTAAAATGTAGAAGATACAATACTGACTTTCGTTTCACCACACAGTATAACTGTCTGATAACCTAAATCTAACATTTTGTTGGAATAGGTAAATTCCTGCTAAGTCTTGGGTAATTATTACTTTTAGAACACTGTACTCCTTTTAAAAACAGGACACTTGTAGAACTTCAATAAAAAACCTCAAGGTACTTAGGTGAGCAAGTTTCAGCCTCCAAGCTGTCTCACTGAGAATGGACTAAAAGGATTCAAACTCCAGATCACCCCTGCTGTGATTCAGTAAATTCGTGCACTAAGGAGTCGACAGCTACGTGGGATCCAGGAGGTGAGCCTGGAAGGAGGAGGTGGTCACTGGGCATGGCCGGGAAGGGGCTGCCCCTCTCCTGTCTCCCTTTCCTCTCTGCTACTTTCCTCCATGCCAGGAGCGGCTCTTCTCTGCCATTCTGCTTTTCCAGGCCATCCTACCAGGGAGCCAGCCAACTGTGGACTGAAACCTCTATAAACTATGAGACAAAATATGTAAATCTTTTCTCCTTTAAGTTGTGGTATCAGGAATTTTGTTCCAGCAGTGAGAAAAGTGTCTAAGACAGACTCTGGCACCAGGAGTGGGGTCACTGCAATGATACCACATGACCATGTCGCTCAGGAACCTTTGGTACTGACGTGAGAGAGGAGTTTGGGAAGGCTTAGAGATACCAGCTGGAGAAACAGGTCTAGGATGCTGTAAAATGAACTTGATGGAGAGTCTGGTCAGAACTGAGAAAGCCAGAAAGCTGATTAAGTGCAGCTGGGTAAACACCAGACTCAGGAGTCCGGTTTCAGTTGGGAATAGGACTCCACTGGCAGTGAGACTACAGGCCATGCTACGCTCGGGCAGAAAATGTTTGGATGCTTTGCTCGTTGTCCTGAGACTGTGGGGGCCTGAGACTAAGGGCAGTGATGGTGGATCCGGGAGGAAATTTCAAAGCAGCCCAACATTTAGGCTGTGGCATGGTTACTGCTTGTGATTTAAAGCCAAATGTGAGAAACAGAAGCAAAAAGCCCATTTTAAGTTTTCAGTTTGGCTAGAAAGAAAGCAAACGAAAAACTGGAGTAGAGATCTCAGTTGCTAAAAAGATCAGTATTAAAAAGAAGCTAAGTATTTATACTGGGATGATGCCCTGAGTTCTGATCATGCCTTTTTGTTGATGAAAATATTCAGAAAACTGGTAGAAAATAAACCTGTTTTATTAAGTGTGGTTTCTTTCAAGTATGAAATCTCTTGTTTCTGTTAGCATTTAAGCACTCTTCAAGTGCCTTTCCACCGTTGTTTTTATGTATTTTATCCAGAATGGGTAAAACCATTGTTTAGGGAAGGGCTAAGTTCAATTCAATCCAGGAAATGCCTTAAAATAATTTTAATCCATTAAAATGTCCAACTAAAGGCAAGAACATTGTCCAGAACAAGAAATAATTGAAACTATGTGTTCGTGTGTACTCCACTGAATCCAGTTTGCTAATATTTCACTTAGGATTTTTTAATATACTATAGTGGAATTAGTTTGCAGGTTTTAAAAAAAAATGCTTTATAACAGCTTACAGAATTAAGTCCTGCTGACATACCTTTCCCTGTAAGTCTGTGGAATACAGATCCAGGGTTGAGATTTTCAGTGTCTTCATGCTTTTTGCTTTAATTGGCTTTTCCTAAACTTTTCACCATTTAAGCTTTCTCATAATCAGTCATTCTATCTTGAGAGTAAAATCCATTATTACAAAATTATACACAGTACTTTTATAGATTCAAAGGCTTTTCACGTCTGTAGTCTTTAAATTTGCTCCAGTATTCTATGGAAACAAACTCATTACTGGGAAACAAAGAGAATTTTGCTTCTTCCATCTCATGTTTCCCTTCTACTGATTTCTACCTATTGTGCTGCGGAAGCCTACCTGATAGGGCTTCCTCATGCAGGGAGGCACCCGTCCCTGTCCGCGGTGCTACAGGGACAGAGCTGGCTTCCTACAGCTTTTTAACAGATAAGCTTCATTAAGTTAAGACATTTCTTACCTATTCAGTACATCAAAAGTGCCTTAAAAATATTTAATCTAAAGTTTTTTTAAGGTAAAAATGCCTTAAGAATATTTAAGTCTGATATTTTTGATGTTGACTCAGTTTCGTTTATTATTTGATCAGTTGTAGAGTTCTTCTTGAAGTAAATTTTGTCACATACATACACTTTCATTTCATCTGACTGTTAACATAAACCTACTTATAATAGCCTTTTATGACTTAAAATTTCTATTACATTTATAATTACAGACATTAGTTGTTTGTATTTGGATCTTTTTCTTCATTTTTGCCCTAAGCTTTTCTCTTTTTGTGGTTTTTTAGAAAGTGTGCTTTTATCCTACTGAATCTTACTGTTTTTCTGATCTTCTCTTCCTTTTCTACCTTAAAATTTAGCTTACAATTCTTTTTCTAGACCATTAAGGTTAAATACTGAGCTTATTTTCCATCTTACTAATATTTAAATTCACACATTAAACTTGTAAACCTTTCCCTAAGTATCCTTAGGTACTTCTAATGTTTTCCAACAGTTGTAATATATAACACTATCAACTATAAAATTACTTAAAAAACATTTAGTCCTATTGTGATTTCCTCTTTAATGCAGGAGTTATTTAGGAACATGTCTCCAAACATTATAGGCTTGGTATTTTTCCCTTTAATTTTCACTGTGGCAAGAAACAAAATCTGAAAGTTGTACAGAAAAACAGAATTTGAATGCTGAAACGACTTTGAAGTGTACTGTTTTTTTGTGATTTGACAAAATCATTTTTAAAATAAATGTTTCATATACCTGTAGAAACTTTTATCTATCTGTTGAAATAGACATGAGCATTAAAGGTATGTTTAAAACTATCACTGTGGATTAGTCAAATTTGGTAGGTAATTCTCCACACTTTGCTTTGTAAGTATTTTAGGCTATGTTTTAGGGACCCACAGTTTCCGGCTCGTCTTCTCCATGTGTTATAATACTTGCACTTAGGCTCCCATGTAGCTGAGGCTACTCTCCCTATACCAGCTTATTCTTGGTAAGGATCTCCAAAGTCAATCTTTTCTCTGTCCCCTTTCTAGATTTCCTATTAGTAGTCTCATTTCCTATAAGCCTTCTATACAGTAAGACTGTATAAATCACCCAACCAATAAATCTGATTAGGTCATCTATCTTTTAAAGGTCTGAGTTAATACATTTGTATTTATTAATAGCCTTCCTGGGTTTTCATTTCCCTCATTTTTTTTTTTATCAATACAAGTTTTAAAAAGTTCCCTTTTCTCTACTTGATACTTCAGAATGTTATTCGGTTTTTTTAAAAATCAGTTACCTTTAGATATTTTAATTCAAATACCAGTAGAAACTTTTTTCCCTAACCAAAGTGAAGAGTATTTTGTGTTTCTGTTCTCCTTCCAAATTCTCAAAATGGGAGGAAACAGTTTTAACTTTATTTTATTAACATCTAATTGAAATTATTAGCATTTCCTTTATGTATAAACAATACAGTATGACATTATTTACAGTACCTGCCATCTGTCACTAGTAGAAAACAGATACTTTCAAATTACATTTCAGTTTTCATAGATCCCTATAAGTACTACTTACATGCAATTACTTTGAAACTACAGTAATTATTACAACTGTCACTAGTTTTTAATCAGTATTAATAAGCATATATTACTAACATATTTTAAGATCTGATAACTGAATTTTAATATAATTACACTTCGTAATTTTGTTTTATGAGTTTACAAACCTGTGTCATGGGGAAAGACCCACAGACTCACTAGACTCTCAAGTGCCTACGACAGGCACAAAAAGACCCAGACCCTGCTGACAACACAAACCTTGCGATGCTCCGAGTGAATCTGTCCAGTCTGATATTGCCGGACGACTTGCTCAACATTAAGTTTTCTCACACTCTAGGGTTCTGGGCAGCCTTATCTCGAGGTTTTCAGTTCTTTTTTGCTCCATGTTCCCCAACCTGGGTGTCCCTTCCAGCAGGAGCCCTCGATGTTAGTTCAGCGTATCAAAAACCCTGCCGTGGAGGTGGCAGGTGGCAAAGCCCCTCACACGTGCTGGGAGCTGTCCTCTCACGGCAGTGCCCGCCGCCCCCAGCAGGTCAGGCCAGAGGAAGCGGGGGGTGGGCTGCGCTCTGGAGCACAACAGCCCTGCCCGAGGCCCTGATTTGAGGAGCACGAGATGAGCTGGTTTTTGATTTGGGTGGGTTGCAAGGGAGACAAAGTAAAAACTGAACTTATATCATGATTTCAGCCTTTTTATGCAGGGAGCTCACGGTATTGCTTGTTTATACTCTGGTAACTGTTTTCTTCTTTAAAAAAAAAATTAGATTTCTTAAAACCATGTTTCAATTCCATTTTACTAGGGATTTTAATTAAAAAAAAAAAACCTAGGAAGAAGTGATTTTCTTTTTAACTGAAATGCTTTAAAGCACCCATCTATTCTAGCTAATCATATACTTTTGATTTATTACTAGATAATTAGAATTCCCCATCACTAACTCATATGCATGTCTAAGTGAACTGCACTTGATTATGGCATAAGTCTTCTGAATCATTTATTTAAGACTTTACAAGAACAGTCACAGGCAAAACCTCTGCTTTCTGTATATCCAGTTTTAAAGTTTTGGTATTGCTATAATAATGCCTTTGTTATTAAAATCACTTTCTCAAACTTTTTAACTTTAAGGATTTAGGAAACTTTCTTTTACACGTAGGTTTTACCTCTGATTTTGCTCATTTCAGTACTGCACTTGATTTTTAATGCATCTTGCTTCTGAAATCCAACACATGATCAAAACGAGAGGACAATATTCCCGTAATGCTGGGCAGACAAGAATTTCCAGGCTTCCTGTAACTGAGCTTCTGTAAACATCTCCATAAACTCTAGTTTTATGTTATACATCCAGTATGTGGTAAAATGTTGTTGTGCACTCACATAAGACACCCCAGCTTTCCAGAGGGAAGCACCAGGGACAGAGGTGCCCCAGAGGAAAACAAGTGTGCCCTCAGCTGGCAGCTTCCATGAGGAAAGGGGAGAGAGGATGCTCTCTGTAAGAGGGCAGCTCCACTTACCACTGAAAGAACACAGAAGGGAAGCGGGGAAAGAGGACTGTGTTTACAGTGTCTAACAAAACATGAAACAATGGATTTGGGGCTATGACCTGCAAAGTCTGCTCTAACCTACAATCCGTGTCCCACTGCGAAGCCGCGACACCGCGCAGGATGTCCGAGGGGCACTGGTGCTACTGCAGGTGCTGTCCCTGTGATGCTGGCGCACCCTTCTCTGCGTTTCCCCTCCAGCTCCAGGTCTGCCGTTCAGACACACTTTCTCTCTCATTTTAGGTACTATTTTCTAAGATCTTTGATAACGTTTCTTTAAGCAACATCCAGTCTACTACCGTCTCTCCATAATACCTAGTTTTTCTCTGTATTAATTTTTTTGAAGAATAATTGACCTTTTGTATTTATATCATATTTATTCTTAGAATCTTAAACATATGGTTATTTTGCAGAAGCGCATCTATGATCATGTTTTAACATCTGCAGATAAAGGTCTCAACCCATGGTTAGGGGCTAGACCTCCAAGTGGATTTTGTTGCACTACCTAAGTTTACTCTTGATCCTACTGACCTATGTAGCCAATGTGCATCTTTTGTTAAACTGTAGCTTAGAAGAATACAGATGATCTGATGACTCACTGTAAATATATTACCACCATTAGAAAGTATTCAAAACACATGTTACTCTTGAGATGGTACTGATAAATATAACTTATCTCCTGAAAACACTTTTATATCACTGTGGGTTAGGTAATGATATTTAGAAACTTATAAACTAATTTACATTTTGTAATAAATATTATAATACCACAAAGGTCTCAGAATTACCTTATAGTGATGATTTCTCCTGGATTTGCCTTTATGAGCCAGCTGCAGTTGAGTCTGGCAGGGTACTCAGACGGCCAGCCTGGACTGGTGATTATACCACTTGGGGCCCGGATTTGTTCTGGAGTCTCTCCACAAGCTGGAAGACAGCCAAAGCAAGCCTAGGTAATTATTAGGCATTAAAACACAGCATTCAGTAAATCAGTATTTATTTTTTTAAAAAAAGACATAAAATCATATGTGGTAATATGTGGTATTAGCAACTTTGGAAAGCTTCTATTCAGTGTGATCTTTTAATCTCTTCCTTTTCAGACAAAGAGCCTTATCCTAATTAAGTACATGTTTTGGGCAGGCAAGGAAGTTTTCAAATTGTATTATTCAAGAGTAGCTGTTGTGCTGCATGGTGGCTCACGTCTGTAATCCCAGCGCTCGGGAGGCTGAGGCAGGAGTATCATTACGAGTCGGAGACCAGCCAGGGCTACACAGTGAGCTCAAGGCCAGCCTCAACTGTATAATGAGACCTTGTCTCAAAAAGACAAAAGAGAAAAAAAGAAAGAAAGAAAATAAAAAAGAAAAACAAGAGTCAGTTGTTAGGTTTAGCTAGGGAAACCAACTGATTCAGCTCTCGTTTCTCAAGTTCAGTATTTACTGAATTTTTGTGTCTACAGCCTTGTGATTGTCATCTAGCTTTCAGAACACTTTACATAAACTGTAACTTTTACTGGAAAGTTAGATGACTGGATAAAAACAGCAAAACAAAATTACTGCAAAGTACAGTAGTAGTTCTTCCATTTATTTCATTAATACATGCAAACTTTAATATCGGATCACGAATGTTTCCTAAACTATTGAAAAGTAAATTCCTGAAATACAGTAGTGCTCAAATAGATCACTATGTGATTGATATCTGATTATCATGGAAGAACATTTTGGTGCATATAGAATAAACTGAAATACCAATATTTTCCTGGGTCACTCTCCTTATACTTATAATATCTTGAATCTTACTGCAACATAGTTAATATTTTATCGATAGAGAATTTAGCTGATAATCTTTCCAACTTATTCTCCCTCAATTAAAAATAAAGTCACTGCCCTACAAATAAGCCTTCAACTAGAATTTAAAACCACAGAACCTCTTTTTTAATACAATTTCAACAAATTAATTATCCAATTTTTAATGTAACAGCAGATTAGAAGAAACGGATTGGAAACGGGGAGAGGTACACAGGGAGAGGCGCTAATGCACTGTTTAGAATACTGATAAAAACTACGCAATGAACGCGAAATCCCTGCACGCTCAGAACACGGCCTTCTGCCCGTGCCCACAGGGTAAGCACGGCTGGCATCACGATGAAACACGCGAGCCTAGGAGGCAGCTAAGGAGGGGCAGCATCGCACAGGCTTGAGTCCTGCCACGGTTCAGAAATCAAGTAAGCCAAGGTAGCTAAATCTACTTATAATAACTGTAATTTGGAAAAATGTTTCTTGGCAACAGATTTATACAGTCTGTTCAATGTCATTACACTAGAAAATATACTATGCACTTTAAAAACCTCTATCCAGAACGGCTAAGACATAGGAGGCTGCACCGTTAGAGGCAGTACTACCTCTCCAGACTCCTCAGCCCGGATGGATCCGGGGCGAGCCGCAGGCCGGGCTTGGGCGGCAGCCCCGCAGCGCCGAGCCTGCATGGCGAGGGGCCTCAGCTGGGCTCTCGGAGCACAGAGGTCGCCGCAGGCAGGGCACGCACTCAATGCCCAGGCTCAAGTTCACCTCACTGCCCACGGCTTTGGTGGACACCACATTTCCCTTGAAAGAAAAATGTCAATTTTAATGAATGTTTAAGAAAAAGACTAAATTTCTCTAAATAGAACTTTCAGAGCTAATAAATAGCCAGTTGTTTCCACTTTGCTCTATTATCACAATAATTTAATAAAAGATCCCCTAAGTCATTTATAGGATCTTCTTTTTATGTCTAACCAAACCATTCTGGGAAGGATTAACTTTATGAAGATACAAATAAACATGCAAAAATATTTACAATATGGGAATCATTTCCCCTAATATGGACAAGTGTTCATACCCTTTAAAAATTCATCTGTATAAAAGAGTGTAACACAACTTCAAGTTAATAGGCATGTCAGTACTCAAACACTTACAAGTTGACTTTTAACAGCTATGAAATACAGTCCAAAACTAGGCGAGAGTACTCGGTGACAAAGCAGAAAATTATTAACCTTTACATAAATGATAGATTAACTGCAAGGAAACAACCAGAAAGAACTTTATTAGGTTGTTCTATTAGTTTTCTTTTTAAGAAAAATTTCTTAAGTACTACATGAGAAGCCCATAGGTGGTGCTCTTATACCAAAAGTTGCAGTTAAATTCTGATTTGATGCTAAAAAAATGGATGCAAATATTTTATTTCCATGCAGCTGCCACAGGTTGAGACATAGCACTGAGTCTGAATGATTATTTTAAGATTCACTGCTTTGCATTTCTAATATCATATGTATTTTTGTTAACTTTATTTTAAAATATTAATGATTCCTGCTAATGAAAAATACAACTATAATATCACAGTTTCTCACTGAATTTCTTAAGAATACATACATTGATTTGGTTTTCCACATCTGTAACATAGTTAAATTCAGCATTCTGCTATTTTTAAATTTGATACATAAACAAAATTTATATAAATTATATATAATGTTTTGATACATGTACATAGTATGTAATGTCTAAATCAGGTTAAGCATATAGATATAGATCTACTACTATATTTATCATTCTTCATAGTAACCCTGTAGCTTTCTTTTTGTTTTTTGATATTACTAGAGGATGAACTCATGGGGCACTGAGCTATATCTCCAGCCCTTTCTGAGATTTGGTCTCACTAAATTACTTAGTCTTGTGGTCCCCCTGCCTCAGCCTCTGGAGCAGCCAGGGTCACAGGACTGCACCATCATACCTAGTAATCCAGTGGCTTTTTAATGAGCACATTTTTGCAAGTACAATACACTGGCTATGTAGGTAAATAACTCCACCAAAAACACATCCTCCTCCATAAGAAAAAATAAATTCAGCTGCCTCAGAAACCGTCCCACTTCCTGTCCTGTGTGCGTAGAGTTCACTCCACATGCAGGTGGATGTGGCATTGGAGTCCTGGATGCTGTCTGTTTCACCTGCCACTTACTCGCTGTGCTGTGCTGCAAACCACTCAAACTTGCCGGGTCAGTTTCTTCACATGCTAAGATAAGGACTGGTTATCTGACCAACCCCAGGTCTCTTTGGCGCCAGTCATGTGCCTTTTCCCCTATCACTGGGATGGGTTTCTGACCTATTTCCAGAAGTTCAACAGGATGCATAAATGTGTTTTTCATTACCTTGCTTTGCAATTTCTCCTTGACCTACTGAAGCCAGACTTCTCATTCTTCCCTTATCTCCACAGAAACCATGCCAGCAGGCAAAGGCCACCACAGACCTCAGGGCCAAGTCCAGTGGACCTTTCTGGATATGTGACAGTGATGTTCTGTCCTTCGTGATACTGCTCACTACCCTGGGTTGCTGACACCTCCCTGCCCTCTTCCTGCCACCCCATGCTGTTTGCTTAGCGTGACCTTGCTTCATGCGCAATGCAAGGTCTCATCCGCTCCTGTAACTTCGAAACCTCTGCACAGCCAAATGTACAGCAGGTACTCCACCCTGAAATTTCATATGATCAGAACAGTGTATTCTCCAAATCCTTCTATTGCACATTCTCAGTTTTTAATGGCTTAAGCATCATTTGACTGAGGCAAAAGGCAGTTAAATAAAAAGGAAATTTATTGGGAGAATCCCACAGGTGACCTCAAGGCTCTTCAAGAACAGGGAAGAAAGTGAAGCAAGACCTCACAGTGACAAAGGCAGTAACTCCCAGGCCAGAAACCCACTCATCGCCTCTCAGACCACTGAGGCCGTTCCACTGCCCGCTCTGTGCTGCTTTTCTAACTGCTCCAAGTCTACTTTTTTCATTATTTTAGTCTCTTAAAAGTGATTTCTTCATCCCATCTTTTAAGGCGTTAGCTTCAGTACCTAACCCGAACTGTATTTTCATTTTGTCTCAGTTTATGATATGTGTCCTATTACTTTGTATCTTTTAAAAAATCTGAAATGGTTTACTGTGATCAACTCCATAAAAGGTAAAGATTAATAATATGAGATAAATATGAGGATTAAAATGCTCCCTAGAGAACAGGGTCTTTAAGGGCCGAATTAGTAAGGACTTATCACACTGCCAAGATTTGTCAGGGGTCGATACAGGACACCAGGTGCCTCGATCTGGCGGACAGCAGAGCTCAGAGGCTGGGCTGAGGTGGTCACCCAGGGAGGACACACTGTACTATGAGTGCTTGTCACCTGACAAGGATGGAAGCCAGGGTGAGGGTAGGGTTGGGGTGCACACTCTGAAAACTGTAGGAAAAAATGTTTTAAAACAGGTGTTTGTGTCATCGTGCTGGTTTGACCCTCACCTTCCTAGATGCTGACAATACTCCCACTTCACGGTACATCAAACCTGACCCCCTTCTATCCACATTCATTCTATCCAGCCTTCTCTATTGCTCATACATAATTATTTTAGCTACGGTCTAGTTAATTCTCCCGCAAAAATTAGTTTCTATGTAATTGGAAAATGGAGGAAATCTTGCCAGTATAATGCAAAAGAGTTTATTCCCAGCATGCTAATGATTTGAAATGACCAGAGGCAGGCGTGTTCACAGTTAAGAAAACATGCAACAGCAACCCTACAGAAATGCCTTCGTTTCCTGTGAGAAGTGCTTCCCTTCCTGCCTTAATGAGGTGATCAGCTTCCTCTACACTTAGATGTTTGGGAAGCTGAAAGTGCAGACAGAGATGTGAACATACTCCACATGAAAACCGATCACCTTACTGGCGATGCGCGCGCCAGAATCATAGTTCCGGCTCTGACGAGGCTGCGTTAGAGGCGAATGTCTCTAAGGGAGAAGAACGACGCGGAGCGCAGCTGAGTCTCGCTGTCGAGGTCAGCGCTACGTGACTGCGCGTGCTCACACTGGCATCTTGCCTCTCCCTGCTCAGAGCACGATGCGCTGGAAGTGCTCCGTGCTGACACTGCGT